ATGTGAGTGTGTACATGTGAGTGTGTGTGTGTACATATGTGAGTGTGTACATATGTGAGTGTGTACATGTGAGTGTGCGTGTGTGTGTACATATGTGAGTGTGTACATGTGAGTGTGCGTGTGTGTGTGCATATGTGAGTGTGTACATATGTGAGTGTGTACATGTGAGTGTGCGTGTGTGTGTACATATGTGAGTGTGTACATGTGAGTGTGCGTGTGTGTGTACATATGTGAGTGTGTACATGTGAGTGTGTACATGTGAGTGTGTACATGTGAGTGTGTACATGTGAGTGTGTGTGTGTACATATGTGAGTGTGTACATATGTGAGTGTGTACATGTGAGTGTGCGTGTGTGTGTACATATGTGAGTGTGTACATATGTGAGTGTGTACATGTGAGTGTGCGTGTGTGTGTACATATGTGAGTGTGTACATGTGAGTGTGTACATGTGAGTGTGTGTGTGTACATATGTGAGTGTGTACATGTGAGTGTGTACATGTGAGTGTGTGTGTACATGTGAGTGTGTGTGTACATATGTGAGTGTGTACATGTGAGTGTGTACATGTGTGTGTGTGTGTGTGTGTGTGTGTGTGTGCGTGTGTACATGTGAGTGTGCGTGTGTACATGTGAGTGTGCGTGTGTACGTGTGCGTGTGTACGTGTGCGTGTGTACATGTGAGTGTGCGTGTGTACATGTGAGTGTGCGTGTGTACGTGTGCGTGTGTACGTGTTTGTGTGTGTGTGTGTGTGTGTGTGTGTGTGTGTGTGTGCGGTTTCAGAGACTCCACATCTTTTTACACAATAGAAATGAAATCTTCTGAACCGTAAATCAAACATTTGTTTTTTTTCTCACGTGTCTATTAATCTGTCACAACAAAACACCAGAAGGTTCATAATAATCTGAGATTACATGTTTAGGATTCCACGGTTAAACTGCAGGAGTGTAAAAGAAACGTTAACGCTGCTCCCAGTGGCTCATTAGTAAAGGGGGCGGGTTTTCTGAATCAGCACTAGACGAACCATTGGGTTGATGTTGCGCTCTGATTGGTCTCCAGGCTGCAGTGATGTCGCCGAGGCGTTCCGCCTGCAGGAGATCGACGGTCAGGCGCTGCTGCTGCTGACCGAGGACCACCTGATGACCAGCATGAACATTAAACTGGGGCCTGCTCTGAAGATCTGCGCTCACATCAACGCGCTGAAGAACCAGTGAGGGGAACCGTCCATGTGGGGCTGAAGCTGACACCAAGGATGACAGAAAAAAGTCACAAAAAGAGGAAAAGTTCATATTAAGTTATCATTTACGTGGTTGTGCTGGAGGAGTGGCCTTAGCGGACAGAAAGAGAGAATTCAGGAGGAGCCGAGGGTCGTTTTTGTATCTTTGTGAATATTTTACATGCCACTGGGGAGTGTACATTTCAACTATTTCATGAAGGATTTTGAACATTTAATATATGAAAATTTTAGTTTTTTTAGGCCGTGCCGTTGAGACAGCGCTATCGTCGTGGAGACGTCCGTGTGTGAAAGCGACGTAGTTTAATGTTTTTTATGGATTTGCTCAGACAGAGGTCACAGCTGTAGATGAAGTCACTTCAGGGTAGAAATGGTGTCACGTTTTTATGCTTGAAATTATTTAATAAATGAATAATTAATCCAAGCTGTGATGGTTCCTTCATGAGTTCCTTGCTGGTTCTGTTTGGACTCGGTTCTGACCCAGGTGGGTTCGGGTTTTATTTATATTTTTAATTGCAAGGTTGCTTTTCAGTTTCACTTGCTATCGCGATGCCGCTGGTGTCCCCACCCTGAGGTCTCTTTAGTTTCAGGAGGCTTCCTGGGTGGGCATGTTGTCGGTACGCAGGTCTCGCGCTCGCTGCTGGAATGGACAACGGGATGATGGTTACACGGGCGCTCCTCCACCATGTTGAGGGGAATTCAAATTCAATTCAATTCAAAAACACTTTTAATCCCAGAGGGAAATTGATTAACATATGGTCAGAGTTCCAGGGGAGCTGGACGTAGGGACGGTTGGGCCTCGGGCTCATCTGCTCAGCAATCATCTGAGCTACTCCTGCATCCAGAGAGCCATCAGGACCAAAGCCAGCGAGGGCGCTGCCACTGGTGAACTTTATACCCAGATCCTGCACCATGGAGGACTTCTCTAGCAGGGAATCCAGCTCCAACGCCGAGGAGCAGAAAGCAGACCCAGGAGATGCAGAGAACTGAACCACCATGTTGACTCTGAGATCAGACAGCAGCACAGCTGGATGAGCTCCACCGACTGAAGAACTAAAGGAATGAAGCTCTGCGCTGTGCCGGGTCCGGGTTTTTGTTTCCTCCCCTCTGGCTCTGGTTTGGGGTCTACCTCTGATTGGTTTCGGGCTGAGGGCTGGTTTATGCACCACACCCACAGATGGATCTTATTCTGGGTGTTTTCCTCGACCTCAGCAGCTCCAGCAGAACCGAGATGAACAGAACCTTTTTAGAAAACCTTGAAATATTTTGATTTGATTTAAACCACCTTTGTTCTCACCTGCTGGAGAGGTTTTCCGGGACACGGAAGGGAAAACCTTCAGATTTTCCCACAAAAACAACTTTTCAAACATTCCTGCGCTGATTTTTTCCACCCTGAGGTTAAAAACTCGTGTCCCTTTGGAACGCGTAAAAGCGCACGGCGGCTCTCCATGGCGCACATCTGCAGGCAGCTGACGGGCAGCGCAGCGAGCTGCGCGGGTTGGGTCGGACTCATCGTCGCCACGGCAACCAGCGACTGGGTCCGAACCTGCAACTACACGGTGGCGATCTGCATGAAGATGGACGAGCTGGAGTCCAGAGGCCTGTGGGCCAAGTGCGTCATCTCCCCGTCCCTCTACCACTGCCTGGAGCTGGACCAGATGTTCTCTCTGCCGGGTCAGAACCGGGTCGGATAGGCCACCATTTGTTAAATGCTGAAGCGGTTCTCCAGATCTTTTTCAGTTCAAGAACCTGATGATGTTTGTTTTAGCTTAGAGAAAAATCTAATCAGGTCTCGGAACCGCCCATGTTTGTTTGGGTTTGAAATTGATTTTTTATATTTTTTGAAAAATATTATTTACCAATATGGTTTATTTTGTTTTATCATGAAGTAAATTCTGTTGGATTTTACCGACAAATGACCCAGAAGGTCACAGAAAAAGAGTCTGCTCAGAAAACTTCAAAGACCTTCAGAAGATCTGCTCTGAAGGGTTACGTCTGGATGAGCTCCCACACAACATTTTTATCCTGAGTTTTTGGATCCAAACATTGGCGTCTTTCTTCCAGCTGAGACTTATTTAATAAAGAATTTGATAAAAGAGCCGCTGCCATCCTCTCACCTGCAGCACTCCAGATGTGTCTAACAGATGTTTCCTATTCCTCAGCCTACATCCAGACGTCCAGAGCTCTGATGGTCCTGGCGTGTCTGATGGGTCTACCAGCGATGCTGCTCATCCTCATGTCCATGCCCTGCGTCCGACTGCCCAACGACTCCTCGGCCATCAAGAAGCGCCGCGCCCAGGTGGGAGGCGTCCTCGTCACCATCATGGGTGAGAAGAAGACCTCCTCCTCGGATTAGACTCACATCCACGGCCTTACAGCAGGAGCAGGGTGGAAAGCAGGTGTCTTATTGAGCTAATGAGAACAGGTGTGATGATTAAACAGAACCAGGTGTGATGCCAGAACCAGGTGGATGATTAAACCAGGTGTGATGACTAAACCAGAACCAGACCCAGGTGGGAACAGAAAGAAACCAGCACCCAGAACTGGCTAATTTTTAATGATGTCTCAGATTTTTATTTAGAAGAATTTGAACTTTACATGAAAATTTCTCATCATTTTGTGCAAAATTCTTGTTTTTTTTGGGATGATAAAACTTTTCATTTCCTCCTTTCTGATGCTTCTTCTTTGTAAAAGTTCATCTAGATAGATGAACAGCCTTTGTTTAGAGAAATAGTCATTCAGAATTGAAGCGCTAACTGCTAGTCTTAAATCAGCTCCAGTCTCCTATTTCCCCCAAGCGACGTGCTATTTACCTTTTACTCCATCATCCGTTTGACATCACCTGTATTTGAGGTAGAAACAGGAAGTACTTCCTGCTGGACTTGGAGGAGTGATTAACGGACTTCTATAGGACCCTGAGTGGTGAGGAGATGATGAAGTCTTTGGACTCAGGTGTGCTGAAACAGGAAACCCATAAAACATGCAGCCCTGCAGGGCTGGATAAGGCTCCCTTCATGTGGTTTCTATTTCTCTGAACAGAGGCTGCTCAGGAAGCTTTCTTTGTTGAGTCAGAAAATAATAATTTATCACATTTAAACACTTTAAAATGTAGATGGATGATGTTTTGTTTAGACTTTTCATGAGTCATTAAATCAGCTCATGGTTGATTTTGAAGACTTTAGAAACAAGTTTAACTTCAGAAAAACCTTCAGAGGCTCTAGCTTTACTCTGAAGTTCCTCCCAGCTGTGGTGATGGAGGAAGAGGATGGAGGAAGGTGCCGCCCGGGCGGCTCTTTTTCCTGACTGGGTTTAAGTTGCTTCCTGTAGGATGGGACAGGTACTTCCTGTTGACATCCTCCGGGACAAACTCATTTTTATTCAGTTTTTCTTCTTCTGTCTCTTCCAACCACATCCAGCTGTTTGTGGGATCATATCCACCCTTTGGTTCCCCGTCGGCGCCTACCGCGAGGAACATCTGATGTCGTTTGGATTCTCTCTGTACGCCGGCTGGGTCGGAGCCGGGCTCTGCCTCGTGGGGGGGTTCGTGATCCTGTGTTGCCAGGTAACCAGCATCGGCATCCCATCCAGAGAGAACAGCTTCTTCTACTCCAGACGGGGGGGCACAGCGATGCCAATGGACCCCCCCACCAATCACGCCAAGAGCGAACGGGTGTGAGCGCATCATCAGCTGATTACAGTTCAAATTATGCAACATAATCCCCAAAATAAGTTTTTGGTTTCTACTCAGAAATGATCTTTAACTCTGACTTCAAATCGATTTTATTCATTTAATCTGATTTTTATGTGAGCATAAATATAATGTTTAACACTTCTTAACGGAGCTAACGGTCAGGTCTAGTGCCATCTAGTGGTAGCGTTACAGAATGCAACAAAGACGGCTCCCATATCTCTGTTCATCAGAAACTCCAGTTAAATTTCCGTTGATGCAACTCAAACATACACAAAAAAACTTCATATTTGAGTTTTAACCGTAGTTTATGTCTGATTTTTACTGCCGTTTGTTTTCAGACATCAAGTCTTTAACGGTTTATTCCCACTTAAAAGGTTGTTTCATGTTCTTTCATTTTAAAACGTTTAAATTCTCATTTTCTTTTCATGATTAACGAACATTCAATCATCAACATAACGTTTTGGGTGAGTTTAGTAATAAAAGTTTGACTGTTGGCCTAAAAAGAGTCTGAGTGAATTTAATCTCTCTCACTCACACACACACACACACACACACACACACACACACACACACACACACACACACACACACACACGCACGCACGCAAGCACGCACTCACGCACACACACACACACACACACACACACACACACACACACACACACACACGCAAGCACGCACTCACACACACACACACACACACACACACACACACACACACACACACACACACACACACACACACACACACACACACACACACACACACACACACACACACACACACACACACACACACACACACACACACACACTCTCTCACGCACACACACACACACACACATGCACGCACGCACGCAAGCACGCACACACACACTCTCACGCACGCATGCACACACACACGCACACACACTCTCTCACGCACACACACACACTCTCACGCACACACACACACACACACACACACACACACACACACACACACACACACACACACTCTCACGCACACACACACACACTCTCTCACGCGCGCGCACACACACACACACACACACACACACACTCTCTCACGCACACACACACACACACTCTCTCACGCACACACACTCTCTCACGCACACACACACACACACACACACATGCACGCACGCACGCAAGCACGCACGCACGCACACACACGCACACACTCTCTCACGCACGCTCACACACACACACACACACACACACACACACACACTCTCTCACGCACACACACACACACACTCTCTCACGCACACACACACACACACACATGCACGCACGCACGCAAGCACGCACGCACGCACACACACGCACACACTCTCTCATGCACGCACACACACACACTCTCTCACGCACGCACACACACACACACACACACACACACTCTCTCACGCGCACACACACACACACACACACTCTCTCACGCGCACACACACACACACACACACACACACACACACACACACACACACACACACACACACACACACACACACACACACACACAATCAGAAAAGCTCCAGCAACAGGAAGCAGAGAGGGACATTCTCTCTCCTTGTAACGGTTGTTCTGCATGGAGGTTCTAGAGGTTAAATCTTGTTGGTGAGGTCAGTCTCTTCGTCTCAGATGAACGTTCCACCATCTCCATCAATACTGAAGAGAAGAAATCTTGTTCCGAGCGGCTTTGATTGACAGAAAATGCAATAATGAGGAGTTTGAAGCTTCATCCATCACCACGGACTTCAGTCATCTTCATCATCAAACCCAAAGTTGGTCCTTCCCTTGGACCTGCTGCCTTCTCTTGGGTACTGGACTGCTGCTCCAGATTGGTACCCATACTCATCTCCAATCTCCTCAAACTGCTGCTGCTCATCCTGGTCCTCAGACTGGTACTGCTGCTGGTTCTGATAGTGATGACCCCCCTCGTCCGGGGCTGACCAGCCCTGGTAGGGTCTATCCTCCTGGTCCTGGGGGTACAGGTCCTCTTCGGGGGAGAAGGTGTCGTCCAGGTTGTCGTCGTAACGGCGGTAGGAGCTGGCGTGGGCCTGCTGCTCGCGGGCGCTCAGCTCCAGGGTGCTGTGCCAAATTCCATAGCAACCATAGATCAGCAGACCTGAAACCAGAAACAAGGAGGTGAAAATAGCTGAGGGTGGGCTGGCGTCCAGCTGAAGGGCTCGAAACTCCAGATGGTGGAACCATCTGCCAGGAGCACCTGATCAGACTTTTACTCTGAAATCAGTCCAGTTAAACTAAGAGTGTTGAACTCACCTATGAGGCACCAGACGGTGAATCTGGCCCAGGTGAGAGGAGATAGTTTGAGCATGAGGTAGCTGTTGACCAATATGGCCGCTACAGGAACAAAGGGCACACATGGCGCCATGTAGGGCAGCCTTCGCGTACTCTCTGGCTGTTGGATGATCAGAATCAAAAGTTTTACCAACGATCCCATCATCACGGTGGCCATGAGGCCTGAAAACACCGCCCCAAACCCCGAGCCCTGCTCAACGCCAAACACGACGGTGGACCAGAGGAGGAAGGACAAGACGAAGAGAGAGAGTGTGCATTTGGTCACTACACGGCCGGTGGCAGGGGTGGGACGCGCTGACGAATCAGGCATCCCCAACCGGACTCTCAGGGTGTAGTAATGACCTCCCAGAAGCCTCTTCAGCAGGGGGGTGTGGCCTGTGTGGAATCCCGAGTCATCCGCCTCCCCTTCAGTCCCTCCAGTGTGGTACGAAGACCTGTCCTTATCGTCCCCTTCCATCAGGGTGTGGTTATCCTCGGTGGGCTCCTCCTCCAGATGCTTCGTGTTGTCCACGTCGTCCTCCGAGTTGAACTGGTGCGTGTCGGTGTGATCGTCAGGCTGGTAGCGCAGTAACAACACACACACGCTGACCAGTGTGTACGCCAGGAGTGTACCGATGGACATCATCTCAATCAGGTCCCTGAGGCTCACCAGCAGGGCGAGGACGGCGGCAAAGCCTCCCGACACCACACACGCCAGGACAGGAGTGTGTGTGAGCGTCGACACGTGTGTCAGGAACCTTCAAAAGCACGCACACACACACAGTTAGCCCTGTGTTGTGATTGGTGAGTTTGTGAGCTCCGTGGCGTCTCACCTGAACAGCAGCCCGTCCCGGGCCATGGCGTAGATGACCCTGGGCATCGGGAACAAGGAGCCCAGCAGTGAGACGGTGAGTCCAGCGATGGCGCCAACCGCAACCGTGTACTTCCCCCACAGGAAGCCGTGGACGGCAAACATCTCCATGAGGGGAGCCGACCCATCGATCAGATCATAGGGAACCATGAGGGTCAGGATCACGCTCACCTGTAGGAGTAAAGAGGTGGTTTTCCAGTCAGGAACCACACTCAGCCCGAAGCAGTCTGACCCTAACCCCGAGGCTCAGAGGTGGTTCTGTCTCTGGAAACCAGACTCGGGGCTGATTCCTGAATCTGACAGAGGTCTAGTCATGGTCTTCTAAACAACAAACATGTGACATCGTGTGCGCTAGCGTGTTCTAACTCCAGCTGAAGCAGAAGGCAGAAACCTGGACCAAAGAACACGCTAACACGGACTTTGGTCTCTAGGAAAACACGGAATGGAAACTCGTCACCGACCGACACGTAGGCGGTGAGGCAGGTGACCAGTGAGGCGGTGATGGCGTAGGGGATGGAGGTGTTGGGGTTCTTTGCTTCCTCTCCTGTTGTTGCGATGATGTCGAAGCCAATGAAGGCGTAGAAACATGTTGCTGCTCCTCGCATCACCTGAACGAGAAGAAGACGTCACAGAAAATCTCAACTAAACAGTTTTTTATGAAACGGCGGAGAGCAGCCTGGGTGTCTCACCCCCGACCAGCCGTAAGGCAGGAACTTTCCACTCCCCCAGTTGCTGGCTGACAGGAAGAAGAGTCCCGCGATGATCATGAAGACCCAGATGACTAGGTTGACCACATTTAGGATGTTATTGAATCTCACGGAGTTCTTCACGCCGACCGCGATGATCACCGTGGCCAGCAGCGCGATGAACAGGGCCAGAACGTCCGGGTACGTGTCCTCACCTTTACCTGGGACAACAGACGCCTCAGAATGGTAAACAAGTTTCAACAGTAGAAGCTGAGCAACATCAGCCCCACTGACCGAGTCCTCTGAGCGTGCCCAGGTGTGTGATCATGAAGTTACTGATGCTGTGATTGGCCAGAGAGTCAAACATGTTGCTGAGGGCTGACGCCCCCGCGGCTGTACCGATCAGGTACTCCAGGATCAGGTTCCACCCGATGAAAAAGGCCACAAACTCCCCGACCGTCACGTAGCTGTAGGTGTAGGCCGAGCCGGTGGTTTTAGGAACCCGGACTCCAAACTCAGCGTAGCACACGCCTTCGACCGAAACACGTTCAAACAGACACGAAAACTTTAGGTTCGCTTAATTAACAGCAGGAAGAGATCAAAGAAAATCATCAAATCAGAGAAAACAAACATGTAAAAATCACACCTGATTTATAACAGTAGGAGTGTAGAAAGCATTAGTGGTCCATCAGGGTCACCATGGTAACCGCCAGTGGTCCATCAGGGTCACCATGGTAACCGCCAGTGGTCCATCAGGGTCACCATGGTAACCACCAGTGGTCCATCAGGATCACCATGGTAACCACCAGTGGTCCATCAGGATCACCATGGTAACCATAATTGGTCTATCAGGATCACCATGGTAACCACCAGTGGTCCATCAGGATCACCATAGTAACCATAGTTGGTTCATCAGGGTCACCATGGAAACCATAGTTGGTCCATCAGGGTCACCATGGTAACCGCCAGTGGTCCATCAGGATCACCATGGTAACCATAGTTGGTTCATCAGGGTTACCATGGAAACCATAGTTGGTCCATCAGGGTCACCATGGTAACCGTCAGTGGTCCATCAGGATCACCGTGGTAACTGTCAGTGGTCCATCAGGATCACCACGGTAACCGCCAGCAGCTCATTAGTGTGTTTGTTCTTTTACCTGACAGAATCGATGCCACCGCTGCAATGATGAAGGACAGGATGACCCCTGGCCCCACCATCGTCTTGGCAACCAATCCGGTGACCACGTACATCCCTGTTCCCACGCAGCTTCCCACCCCTAGCGACACCAGGTCCAGCGTGGTCAGAACCTTGGCCAGCCCAACCGCCGAGCCCTCAGCCAGCTCAGTGAGGTCATCGGAACCGTGAGCCATGGAGTCCACCATTTTGGTCCGCAGCAGGCGGGAGTACATGTTGAACCAGGCATCACTAACAGACACCCGAGCAAGCCACGCCCCCATCTCCTCACCTGGTGTTCACCTGCAGATGTTTAGCAGCTTCCTGAGGTGTTTGTCATGATTTGGAACTCCTCTGGAGCTCCTGGGACCTCTGGTCTGAGGTTTGTTGTAGAGGACCAGAATCCGGAGGCTCTGAAATCGAAAGTAAACATCAGTAAACGTGATGAAATCCTTCTGAATGGATGCATGAGGAGGTTGTGGAGTTGAGAGGTTCTGCTGGGACCACATTCCTGAGCTGATTTTGTTTAGGAGACAGAAGCCCTGCCCTCCCAGAGCAACGTGGGTTTTGGAACTTTCCTCATTCTCTCTAAGACTTCAGTTTCTTTCTGCTTCTTCTGGATCTTTACATCTTTAGTTTCCTTTGAGGGAGAGGAAGTCCATCAGCTCACCTGAACGTTCGCGGGTGAAACAGAAGAAGAGCATCAGGTCGCTTTAGAAGACCTGATTTAAATGTCTGCTGAAGGCAAGCCGACGGTTCTCCAGCGGGAGAGAGCCAACAAGGGCAGGACTGGAGACAACGTGGACAACCAAAGAGACGGGCAGGAACAAAGACCATCAGAATCAGATGGCTCCATGTGTCTCTGAGTGAAAGTGGACCTGAAGCAATACGACCAAGAAGGGTCAGGGTGCTTAGGGTCATTCACATCAGCTGTAAGAACTCTGGACCCACTGTGGACCACAGAGGAGACTCGGTTCTGCTCTGAACTTGCTTGGCTGCACCTGGACCAGGAAGTCCTGAATCTGTTCAGGGTCTAATACGAAGGACCATCAAGACCTTCTGGAGCTAAATGTGTTGGTCTGGGGTCCGGGGGTCCATGATCCGCTCCAGGGCTCAGCAGGACCAGTCAGCTGTTCTTCTCACTCACTAGAGCGAGACTCCCTCTGAAACATTAATGAGACCCAGGATCCACTTTCACAGCGGAAAGGTCCAGGTGTGTCTGCAGAACCAGAACCAACGGCCGAGTCCTGGAGCAGCAGAACGTCTGCTTCTCACCTGGCCAGGTGAGATCCATCACCACCGGGTTAAAAACTCCTAAACCAAACTGACGACTTTAGATAAAAGTGCTGCAGAGCAGAGACAGAAAGACCTGCAACAAGCAGGTGGAACACCTGAACAGGTGTGTACTCACGCTCCGTCTCGTCTGCCTCCCGAGTCGTTGGTTTGAATCCTTGTCCTTCGTGGAGCTGCAGGAACTGGTGACAACCTGAGCCTGCAGCGTTAATTCATTCAGACCCGACCATGTGATCAGACTGATGAAATATTCAGTACCTGGAACCCAACAGGAACAGGTGTGTGTGTGTAGCTGTTTGTTCAGGTGGGAATCCACCAGGTGTGTCCAAACAGGAGAACCTGATCATTTTACTCAAAACAGCTGATTATCAACATTTACAAGTTGTTCTCCTCCAGCCGACACAGGAGCAGGCAGCAGCTTGTTCTATAATTATATTTTACATGCTCCAGTTTTTATTTACTTTATAAAACTCAGATCTCTCTTTGTCCAACAAACACCAAGTTCATTCATTTTTATACGCATCCTGATGCAGATCCACCTTAAATGGCTACATCAGCTAGATCCACCTTTAGAGCTAAAACCGTGTGCGGACCGCCCGCGTGCTTACAGGTGAGCATAAGCCTTGTCCTGTCAGCTTCAGGTGTGTGAAACTGTCTTTGAGACATTTTTCATGGTTGCTGATGTTGATCAGCCATGGCGGCCATCTTTAATCAGCGAGAACACCTGAGAGGTTTAATAAACCAGTTTATGTTTAGAAAAAAATACTTTGTTTTAAAAATTACTTTTACAACCTTGTTGCTTCTCCTCTCTCTTTGTTGTTTTGATCTTTTTAAATGTTTAATACTTTGGTCCAGATTAGGTGATAAACACAGATTACAGCCTGGTGTTCGTTCCACACGGATCTGGATGCTTTCTTATTCCCGTGTGGAATTCCTAAAGCCACAGATCTTCCAGCTGGTTTCTCTTACGTGATAAATGTTCCTGCAGCTTCTGACACGAGCAGGATGCTTGGTGGGGATGTGTTGTTGTGCTAACCTGGTGGTAATCTGATGCTCAAGAGTTGGATTACAACGTTACTTCGGAGGAAACAGGACACCGGGTCTTACTTTGCGTTCAGCCAGACCAAACCCTCCCTGATGATGTGAGTGATATGACGGCTCAGAGATGGGACACGCCTGCAGCAGCAGAAGGTGAAACATTCCTGAGGTTTTATGCTTCATGTGCAACAGATTACAGACTGGGATTGGCTCCAGGAGCTCCGACTGACAGAAGCTGAGACAAACATCTTCTTCTGTTTAAGGACTAAACGATTCTTCTGCAGGAGGCAAGAGGAGCTTCAGAGCTAAGAAACATCCACCGCTTCGACCTGAAGGCCTTCAAACATCGAACATGAGATTAAGTCCAGTTAAACCACAGTTCCCATGAGCCTTTGCTTCAGTTGCACTTCAGTTGTTTATGGTGTCTAAACCGTCATCATTCATGTAAATGTGGCTGCAGCTTGTTTTAATGTTAGGTCATTGTTTTTGATTCTGTTATTTTCTAAATTAGACACAAAGAATCCTGAGAATAGATTAAAATAATCTTAAACGGACAGGAACCTTTCAAATTTAACTCATTTTAATTTATTTTCTAAATGCTTTTAATTTTTGTCTGAGCTAGATGCACCGACTTACTTGAAGAAACAAAATCCACCAGAATATAATTTCTGATGAACGTAAAATAAAAATATTCTCATAGACCAGCTGTTGCTCATCCATGGTGCATTCACAGACCTCCCATAAAATGAGATTTGTGTGTTTTAGACGGGCTGGGAGGATCAACACCATGGGGGTGATGAGCGGCTGCGTTTTGGTGCTTCTCTGGCGCCAAGAACATGACGATGCTCTGGATTAACTTTTGAGTTCTTCACAATCCTGAAATTTTATGAATTTACTGAATTATTTTACCTTTCAGCAACTCGGAAAGTTTCTTTAATTGATGTGCTTTAGTTTAGCAAATTGTAAAATTGATTTGAGTTCAATTTAGGGTAAAAACGTCACACTTTGTTATTATTTGATCATGTCAAGTGTTTTGGGTAGGGTCTGCAAAATAAATAATTTATCACTCTTTTGGTTCTTTAGCATTTCGTCACTTCTGAGGGGGTCCAGCAGTACAGCGCCACCTGCTGGTTAACTAATGAACTGCTGCAGAGAGCAGTAATCGGCAGAGGACTAAAATTCTATTAATTTTTCACTAAAATTTAATAATCTGCACTAATCTCAGATGGTTTTAACACTTAAACACAAAAAAAAAATCAAATAAAACCAAGAAAAAATAAATAAAGCAGATTTAAAGACTGTCAGGATGTTTGATGATAGAGAACCTGAATAGGAAGTTTTATAGGCTTTCAGTGAGAAACTAAAACATGAAACAAGATTTATCCACATTTATTCTCCACATAACAGAGAAAGGCATGCTTCACTCGTCTGCATCAGACTCCTCGTCATCCTGACTGATTTGGAAGTAACGCAGCTCGTACGTCTCCTTATCGGACGCCACCACTCTCAACCAGTCACGCAGGTTGTTCTTCTTCAGGTACTTCTTTGTCAGGTACTTCAGATACCTGAAAGGAGTGAGGAGTTCATTCCCTGACATCTCTCCACCAGATTTTTTACTTTACTCAACTCCTCCCACCTTTTAGAGAACTGCTTCTCAGATGTGACGTTGATCTTGTTCTTCAGGCGGCCGACCTGAACGATGTTACCCAGGTTCCCGGTCTTCCCGTTCACCTTGATCTTGTCTTTGAGGAACCGTTCCTATTGAACAGAACAGAGTGATGCACTAGGGAAGAGAACCCTAGTAAAGCAGGAGCTAGGGAAGGGCACCCTAGTCCACACACACGGTTAGCGGTCATAGTTATGGGATTAACCAGTTAGTGATTTCCATGTGTAAATAAACCCAAGCTGTAACTAAAGTGTAATCTGAACATCCACCGTTTAAAAAGCGACTCACAAAGTTGGCGGAGTCCAGGATGCCATCCTCCACAGGATGGGTCAGGTCCAGCGTGAACTTCCATGAAGCTCCTTTTTTGGACTTTTTACCAACAGCTGGCCTCTTCTGTTTGATCTGCTGAGGAACATAAATGCGTTTTAAGAGCTGAACGCAAAAATCACGTCATAAGCGGTTTTTTTAAACTTGCATAATAATAAAAGCGAGCTGCTGAACAGATCAAACAGCCAAGAGTGTGATGGAAATGCATCTGCCTATACTTTAGATGGTTTGGTGACTTTTTCTAACTACAGAATTGGCCACGACTCCTCGTGGGTATTTCTTTTTATCACATCTTAATATAAAGTTTTGTCTTTGCTTTCCAAAAGCCTCTTTTAGCCGAATTATCTATTGGACCTTGTTAAAGATCCACAATGTCTGAAACTGAGGTTACGTACTGTCCAGAACCCGTTACTCAAGAACCCTAATTTTGTTCTAAGGAGTCTGGTATGAAATGAATGAACACGTGTACCTGCTAATGCTAACTCCGCCCGCTCCTGTGTCTTTTTGTCAATAAAAACACTCAGAATCCCAACAGGTCATTCTAATACTTGAACTCGATGCTTTTTTAAAGCAAAAACCGACATAAACAACCAACAAAAGCAGAAATAAACCCCTAGAAGAGTAATTCCGTTAGGAGCAAAGGAAACTCACCGGCGCCATATTCGGAGCTCGGACGGGAAAGAGAGAGACGTTCGTTACGCAGCAGTGACGTAGACCGTTACGCATGTAATGCCCATATATGGTCAAAGCAGCTAAAATAAACGCATAAAGTTTTTTCGGCTGTTTCATTTAAAGATTAACGCTTTTTGGGGATTTTAAATCAATATTTTCAACTTACAAGAAATTATCTAACCTTTAGTCTAAAGGCAGATTTCAGAGTTTCCGGTGTAAGTGAGAAACTAAGGTCCAAAGGTCAGCTGTACAAACACTGATAATAAACCTGCTGAGCCCGTTCAATCATTGACATCCACACACAGATTAGCCAGGGCCTCATCATGGTTCCATTCATTCTGCTGCACTAGGGTGCGGGCGCACGCGCACACACACACACTAGACCTCCCCTGATGAGTCAGAGAAAGCAAAAATGTGAACCTGACTTCATGTTTCCAGACACACAGGAGGGAATGATTCATCTACATGTTGCAGTTTCAAGCATCCAGGCAGGATGTTGCCACAACCACGATGGAAATGAAGCAGGAAACTTTATCAGCCGAATCATTTCAGATGGATGCAAAAGACTTGATATATTTGGGTTCATTAATTTTTTCTGCTTGAGAACGCACAGAAGAATGTTTTTAGTCTGTTACTTAGAAAGTATGCAAAAATAAATGCAGCGAACATATTACAAGATCAAAGTTGACTTTTATACACCAAAATAGAATCATTTAAAACCAGCTGATGCTTTAGTTGTCTCAGGCTTCCCCATGAAGGAACAAGCAGAAACAATAACAGGTTTAGACTCTTATGTTGATAGGGGGCTTTTACTCTGAAATCACCAATAACGCAATCTCACATCGACTTAAACCACCCATGTTTCCGGATTGGTGCCAACCCCCCGCAGGAGCAGGTCTCCATCCTTCCTGTCTGGGACAAATGCTTTAGAGACAGAAAACCAGACAGTGTGTGCACTTTTTCTCCTTTTGTATCGTTTTATTTTGCCTTCTCCAGTCAGGTGACAAAGGCCTCGAGTGAACATAGTTTTCAACTGACCCCCCCCCCCCCCCCCCCCCCAATCGAGTCCCAAAATAAAAGAAACCCCTCACTGCAAACGCTTCCCTGTTGCGGAAGGCCGACACCACCCCACCCACGCTTCTGAAAACAAAGTAGAACTCCTCGTGTCGAGGTGGGGGGGCACTGGCTGCTGTGTGGAACCAGAACTGAGCCCACCGGACCGCCACGCCCCTCAGAAAACCCACCCAGGTTTCTGCTCTTGAAGGGAAAAATGAAAGATAATTTCTGTTTTCTGGCTTTGCATGCTGGGGGAGGGGGGCATTCAGGAACCAGATGAGATCATGCTGGGATGCTGTACGGCTACAGGAGGGACAACCTAGACCAGATCCAGCACCCCCCCTCCCTCGAAAGGCTGCTAGTCAATCTAAAGAATATAAAAATAATAATACAAAAGCCGAACTCGGAACATTCAGGAATGTAAAGGCAAGAATGAGCAGGAATGAGCGACTGATGGTATTTTTGAAGTTGTTTTTATATAAAGTAGATTGTTACCAAACAAAAACTCAGTGATCAGGCAGAGGACCCCGCAGCGAGCTGCGGTGGAACATTCCCAACAGCAGAGAGAGAGAAATGAGAGAGGGGGGCGGGGGAATAAAAGACGAGAGAAATCACAACAGAAATGTTGGAGGTTGTCTGTGAAGGCCGACGCTTTGGTGACTGAACCAATGAGAATGTAAGAGACCGGTTGTGGGCGGGGCTTGTTGCCTGGGCAGCAAAGTCCATCTCCCTATTTGCTGGCCATGACCTTGGTGGCGACAGCACATTCCTCCCCCATGGCAGAAATCACGGTGACCTGCAGAGAGCGTGCAACATGTTCGAGTCAATCATCTGAAACTTGACACACCCAGACCCCCCCCCCCCCACACACACACACACACACGCAGCTGACCCACATCACTTCTCATTTATCTCAAACCTGAACAATAAATAAATAAATAAAACACGTACGATAAATTCTTCACCAGCCTCAAACTTCGCTTCGATTTCTTTCCCGACTTCGTTTTCTGGGACGCGCAGGTCCTCTCTGATGTCCCCGTTGTCGCTCATCAAGGACATGTAGTTTTCATTGATGTTAACCAGCTGCAAAAACAACATTTATTAATCACAGCAAGAAACACGCTGGGTTTAGGGTCATTAATCCACCCGATCAGACTCCAGAGACGAGTCAGAAACTAAACCCAGGTCCTGAACTCTGGCCCTCCAGGGCCACCATCCAGCCTGTTTCAGTTGTTTACCTGCTTCCACACAACAGTCCAATCGCTTGTTCAGCCAGTTGATCACCTGCTGATTAAAATCAGGTGTGCAGAAGCAGGGAACGACTAAAACATGCTGAAAGGCTGACCCTGGAGCAGCGCGTGTTCAGCTTCTAAAATAACCTTTCAAAAGGCAACAGGTGCTCTCAGTTCATAAACAAGTTAAAACTAGAAGCAGGATGATTTAGGTTAAGGCAGTCATGCATCCCAGTTGCCATGGTTACGCATCTATCAGATATTTTCATTGGGTTTCACCCTCAGAACAGCTCTGGTTGGAGCTGAAGACGCCGACCTCGTGTGCCTCGTCTAATCTCATCCAAACATTCTAGTGAAGCTAAAGAATCTCTGCAACCACAAAGTTTCCTAAAAGCTAATAAATGTTTGTATTTTAGCTTCAGTTTGTTTATCTTTTCATTCAATTGAAAAACAGACTAAAGCTCAGGAAGCAGCCGAGATGCAACTGAAGGTAAGATTCCTTTTCTACACCGTTAAATCCTTCAACGGCACACCTAAACCAGGCACCACGCTCCAGCTCAAACATTCATTTTCATTTACTTGAAACTTTAAAGAAACCAGAGAGAATCTCAGTACGGTTGTGAAGATGTTTCAGTTAGGGTGAAGCAGACCGTCACCGGTTCTGAGCAGATGCTAACGATGAGTTCTTGCCAGCAGTGTCGCCTGTCCTGGTGAACTGAGGGGACACCCCAGTGAGACAAACACACAGAAGCAGGTTTACCTGATAGTCTGTCCTCTTGATGGAGGGAACATCCATGTTGTGGGTGGAGGGACACATATCTTCATACTTCTTGTTGGTGAAGATGTCGATACCAACCAGGTTAACCTGCAGGGAGACCGTTTACTTCATCAGACTTTCAGTAAACACGGTGCTTCCTAGTGAGCACAAACTGGAGCAATATTTATTATAACCGAACGGAAAATGGTGCAAGAAACAGCAGCAATAGAATATATATTAAATATTATATTAATATTGGAAAATCACAGCGGCATACTTAAAGCCAACAGTACCTTAGCGTGTCCGTGCTTGCCGGTCTTGGAGGTGGACATCTCTACGATTTTGCAGGGACGATTTTTCAGCACCACATAGCCGTTCTTACGCAGGGCAGAGCACTGCATGGGGTAGGTGGCGGAGGCACCAGACTCACCAGTCTGGAAGTCAAGATCGGGATCTGCCATGGTGCAACGGGTCTGGGGCGCTGCAGAGAAACACCAGTTAGACACCAGCACTCCGACCAGTCCTAAATAAACGACACTCGTGAAATGATCAGACTGTCCTTAACGTGAGCAGCAAAAATACAAATGTTTCCTCAGACAATGTAAGATATTTCCTTCCTGCCTTTTTTCCACAAACTAGTGAAAGCACATTTGAGCTAAGAATTATTTTGATTTCTTTATTGTGAAAAGTAATATACTTTATTGTGAAGTTAAAGCGTTTAGTTGCATTTAAACAAAATCCCTAGAAGCAGTTCAGCCTTTTTAAGGCTGCATATGGTACATTTGGTTGACCTGTCATCCAAACCCTTAAAGATTTACGCAAACGGCACTATTTACGGTTCCCCTCCCGTTCTAATCAGCTGTCACCTAATAAAGAAACGAGACCTTATTTACACGCAGACTATTTTTTACAGTGTCCAGCTCCATTTAACCGCCCTGCGCCTGCAGCCTCTACGGAACCTCACACACCTTCACGACCTATGATTTTCTGACACTAAGTCAACTCTCCGTGTTTAGCTCTGCAGATGGGTTTGGAAGCGCTGAATGCGCAGCGCAGCTGAAACGTGTTAGCACCGAAAGCTAACCGGTTACACACGAGGCTATAATGCAGCTTCATCCTCTACTGCCTTTACGGTCTCCGGTAGTAATTTAAAACCACGAATCTGTGCTGTAGGACGGACCGATGCGAACATAACTTTGTTATAAGAGCGCTGACTTCCCGGGAGGGATTAACGGGTTGATAGAAGCGTAGCATAAGTTAGCTCGGCCTTTACAACATCGGCAGATAAATGAACTAATAAATACTGTCTGCGATGACAAACTAAAACCAATGCGTGTAATTTTAATTAAAATCCGCAAGTAACTATCGAATACCAATCATTTAAATCTTAATGTGTCCCAACGGTGCCAACATGCGGGGCCGATGATTCACAAATAGCGACTACCGTTATCCAAATGTGTGCGCTAATGCTATGCTAACAGTGCTAGCATTTCGGGCTAGCAAAATAAAAAGAATATCCGTAATGGTCGACGGCAGCCGGTCTGAGTTTAGATTTTACGGTTTCAAACGTAACCTGTCCGCTAAACGACAGGTGGAAGATTTTAGGATGACAAGCGGCTAAACGCCGAGCGCGCTGCCAGCAGAAGGCCGCATGTCCCTTTGAATTAGCCTGGTCACCCACACCCTGCCCCGCCACCCAATACATCCACAGACAGAACCCAACAACTACTTCGACGGCTTCGCGAGCCGGTCCGTTACTACTTTAGCCCCTCGGAATCAGCAACAAGCTTTGTTAAAACCCAGTAAAGTTCTTCATTTATTCCCTGAAGAAAGAAACACGCGCCATGCCACACTTACCTTCCGAGCAAAAAGAGGACCGAGAGTGCGCAGGCGCGGCCAACTTCACTGCAGCATCCGTGGTGGAGGAGGGAGGGGGGGCGTTTTTGTGTTCCGGTGGCAGCCAGGCAGAAAGGGTTGCCAGGTCCGGGCAAACATGGCAAC